CTTCTAGGAGAACTACAAGCCACTGCTCAACGAAATAAGAGAGGACACAGATGGAGAAACATCCTATGTTCATGGTTAGGAAGAATCAATATTGTGAAAATGGCCATACTGCCCAAAGTAATTTACAGATTCAATGCTATCCCCATCAAGCTACCAACATCCTTCTTCACAGAACTGGAAAAAAAACACCTTAAACTTCATATGGAACCAAAAGAGAGCCCACATAGCCAAGTCAATTCTAAGCAAAAAGAACAAAGCGGAAGGCATCACACTACTAGACTTCAAACTATACTACAATGCCACAGTAATCAAAACAGCATGGTACTGGTACCAAAACAGAGATATAGACCAATGGAACAGAACAGAGGCCTTGGAGGCAACACAATGTATCTACAACCACATGATCTCTAACAAACCTGACAAAAACAAGCAATGGGGAAAGAATTCCCTGTTTAATAAATGGTGTTGGGAAAGCTGGTTAGCCATGTGCAGAAAACAGAAACTGGATTCCTTCCTGACACCTTACACTCAAATTAACTCCAGATGGATTAAACACTTAAACATAAGACCAAACACCATAAAAACCCTAGAAGAAAATCTAGGCAAAACCATTCAGGACATAGGCATAGGCAAGGACTTCATGACCAGAACACCAAAAGCATTGGCAACAAAAGCCAAAATAGACAAGTGGGACCTAATCAAACTCCACAGCTTCTGCACAGCAAAAGAAACAGTCATTAGAGTGAATCGGCAACCGAAGGAATGGGAAAAATTTTTTGCAGCCTACCCATCTGACAAAGGACTGATATCCAGAATTTACAAAGAACTAAAACAGATTTACAAGAAAAAAAACAAACAAGCCCATTCAAAAGTGGTCGAAGGATATGAACAGACACTTCACAAAAGAAGACGTACATAAGGCCAACAAACATATGAAAAGATACTCATCATCACTGGTCATTAGAGAAATGCAAATCAAAACTACATTGAGATACCATCTCATGCCAGTTCGAATGGCGATCATTAAAAAAATCTAGAGACAACAGATGCTGGAGAGGATGTTGAGAAATAGGAACACTTTTACACTGTTGCTGGGAGTCTAAATTGGTTCAACCATTTTGGAAGACAGTGTGGTGATTCCTTAAGGACCTAGAAATAGAAATTCCATTTGACCCAGCAATCCCATTACTGGGTATATATCCAAAGGGTTATAAATTGTTCTACTATAAGGACACATGCACACGAATGTTCATTACAGCATTGTTTACAATAGCAAAGACATGGAACCAACCCAAATGCTCATCAATGATAGACTGGACAGGGAAAATGTGGCACATATACACCATGGAATATTATGCAGCCATCAAAAACGATGAGTTCGTGTCCTCTGTAGGGACATGGATGAACCTGGAAACCATCATTCTCAGCAAACTGACACAAGAGCAGAAAGTCAAACACCACATGTTCTCACTCATAGGTGGGTGTTGAACAATGAGAACACATGGACACAGGGAGGGTAGCACTACACACTGGGGTCAGTTGGGGGGAAATTGTGGAGGGATAGTGGGGGGTGGGGAGTTGGGGAGAGATAGCATGGGAAGAAACGCCAGATATAGGTGAAGGGGAGGAAGGCAGCAAATCACAGTGCCATGTGTGTACCTATGCAACAATCTTGCATGTTCTTCACATGTACCCCAAAACCTAAAATGCAATAAAAAAAAATCATAGATAATACCTTAATTAACAAGCAGGACTATGTTTTAGGATAAGTTTTTTTATGAAAGCCGATGGTAGATTAGATTTCACACAAAGGCTACAGTTTGCCAGCTGCCACCCTAGAACCTCAGAGTGCTTTCCTTCTAACCAACTGGCAGGAAAGAGACAACATAGGGGTGTGTGTGTGTACCAAGTGTACCTGGACCTGGCCTGGAAGAGGCAGACATAACGTGGTCAGACTTCAGTCACACAAAGCAGGAGTGGAAAATGTACCCCACTGCTTGCCAAGAGATATTGACGTGTTAACACATAACAATTATTCATGGTCCACCCTTCTAGTCACCAAATGCCTATTTTATACTTCCTGTTATCTATAGAACACATTTACCAGGTCCTCTTCCCTCAGATGAAAGGTATATCCAAAGCCCCATGAAGTCACTACATCCAGTGACTGTCAGGTCCAAAGGTGGCTCCTTGTAGCCTGGTAGCTAAGATGTGAAACAACTAGTGATTTTAGAATAAAATATCAAGTTATGTTTCCACCCTTCACAAATATCCAATATACAGTGGTGAAGAAAGATTATAACAAAATATTCTACTCAAAACAGCACATAAGCTTCCCCTGGCCAATGGAAACAGTGCAGTCCTGTTGAGTAGCCCCTGAAGGCTCCGCCCCATGGAGTTGTGAAGTACTTTGCTTACCTACTGATTCTGCTCTCTGGAGCACTCGTCTGTGCTTTGCTACACACTGATTCTGCTATCTGCCACTTGTTTGTCCAGTAGTTTCCATGGCCACAGATACTACCTTCTAAGAGTTTCTTCCTTGTTCAGTAACCTCAAAGACCATATCCGAAATGGACATTTGTAGGCTTTTTATAGCGCATTCCATGCCAAAGTTTCTTTTAAGATCTCTAAATAGTCCCAAGCTTATAACAGTTTCATACTTACCCTGGCAATAGATTTCCCCCAATATTTTTTAGGCCAAAGGCCACTTCCAGTCAGTTGTAAGTGCCAATAACCACAACTGAACTTCATCAGACATAGTTTCTAAACTTGTATTCCTTCTTAATGTCTTTACTCCATGCTCCTGTCTCTCTCTTTCTCTCTGTGTCTCTGTCTCCCCTGCAAAATCTCTTTCTCTCCCCCCGCCTGCCCCTTTCTCTCAATTTTACTGTGGCTACATTGATGCTGTCTGAAATAAGAGAATATGATGAAATAGCAATACTGTTAATCTGACTTATTTTGTTTTGCTAAGAGATCCTATTCATCTTTTTCAATCCGGGCTTTTAAGTCTTAAATGTTACTATTCAGAGTCCAGAAGTGGTTGACTTTTTCCAACCTGTAAGGCCCTAGAAATCTAGAAATTCTCCATTCCCTTGATCCTCTGCTCAAAAACTGGCCAAATCTTTATCTCTTTATTATAATACTTTTCTCAGAATAGCAAATAACAGTCAACATAATCACAGTGACTGTCATTCTGATAGAGCTGACATGGGAGTGCCAGGAAAGGAAAAGCATGGTCCCTTTAAGTGATATGAAAGTGGGGAAGAAAAGGTGAGGTATGGGAGAGCATGGTTCCTAGCTAGGACTCAAACCCCACAGACCTATGTGAGGTCAGGCATTTCCTGCCCAAACGCTGCATTTTCCAACCACCCTGGCCTGCCACATCCCCATCCTGGGCCTATAAAAACCCAAGACCCTTGCGGAGGACACACAAGCAGCTGGACATTGTGAGGAACACATCAGTGGAAGAAGATGTAAGTAGCCAGTCATCGAGAGGACTTCAAGAGGAGCACTCCAGCAAAAGAGCACACCCACAGAGATGGGCATGCCAACAGACCATCGACTTGCTGGACGATGTGGAGTTTGGCCAGGGCAGTTGAAGGAGAGCCGTGTCACTGAGTGGCCCAACTCCAGGGGAAAACCATCTCCCTTCTGGTTTTTCATTGGCTGAGAGCTACTTCCACTGAATAAAACTTTGCACTCATTCTCTAAGCTCACATGTGATCTAATTTTTCCATTACACCAAGGTAAACCCAGGCTACGAAAATCCCTCTGTCCTTGTGATAAGGAAGGAGGTCTAACTGAGCTGCTTAACACAATCCACCTACAGGCAAACTAAAAGAGCACCCTGTATCACATATCCACTAGGGCTTCAGGAAGTGTAAACATTTACCCCTAGACACTGCCATGGGGTGGGTTGGAGCCCCACAGCTTGCCAATCTGTATGCTCCCCTAGAGGTTTGAATAGTGGGGCACTGAAGAAGTGAGCCACATCCCTATCACATGCCCTGAGAGGGGGATGAGGAAACCTTTCCTGTTTTAACTGTGCTTCACCCAGGATCCTAGAAGGTCAGTGTGATTTAATGCAAAACTGTCAGGTCTGTCTCTCTTCCAAAACCCTGCCACCTCTCTCTTTCCTATGAGTAAGAGTCTGTTTCCCTTCACAGAGTCTTAAACCTCCCTAACTGGGCCAGTTAAAACCCCCAGACTTTGTATATTTTCTCTCACTGGTTTGAAATGGCTCTTATCTTTTTCCTTATAATGTTAAGAGTTTTGCAACAGACTATAGCAAAGTTACTAAGTAAAATGAACATTTGCCTCAATCACCAAAGATGCAAATTATACCAATTTTTCCTAGAGGACTCATGTATGACTCCATCTCAACAGTCCCAAGTACGCATGGCTCAGGGCACCTCTTCTTACCCTTTCCCCTCCCAGCTCAGGTACCTAGGCATGCCTGCAGCAGGCAAAGTCCACACCCAACAGCCACAAAGGGGGTGGGAGAAATCCACAGTGGTAGCTGAGACTCCACAGGGCCAATGGAGGGCACTTATTGCCCACCATACTGATGGATCCTTTCTTTCCCTGGCCAAGGAATCAAACCTGGTCTGAAATGGGGGAAAGATATGAAGGTTAGGCAGGGACCACTTGCACTAAGCAAGGTGTTCTTCCCACAGAATCTTCCTCTATTTTTTCCCCTTACACTGTTTTTCTATTGTTTTCCTTTTCTTAGTGAGAGGGCCCTCATCCCAACTCTGTTTTTTGTAGGGTAGTCAACAGAGGAATGGCCCCTGTTGGCTGAGAACTGCAAATTCAACAGGACACATTTGAGATACTCTAAACAGATATTAACAGCCTTTAAAATGCCTTTTCAGTCCCAAACTCAATTCCAAACTTCAGTCAGTGGCCCTAGAAAGAAAAACCACGTCTGAGGGATCCAAAGCCAGGCACTATGTAAATGGGCTGAACCAATTCCTGCTGACTGAACCCTCTACCCCATGGAAGGAGGCTATGCTTCATGGCATAAACAGGCCCAGAGAACTCAAAGTTTGCTGACAGCAGGGGGAAATGGAGGCACAGGTAAGGGTAGTTAATTCCTATTCTCCAGGTTTTCCCTGCTTCATGGGTACATACCTCAGTTGTACCTATGGCCGAGGATAAGGAGTAGAAAGTGTAAGGACACTTGCTTTCTCTCTCCATCACACCCTGAGTTTTCACTGAAAGAAGGAAGGGATAAGGGATGCCTCTATTCCTTGTCTTTCAGACTGGGAAACCAGTTCTCTTCACCACCCCCAGCCTATACTCTTTTGATGTATATCTTGAACCATTGGGACTACTTTGACCCTCAGAATCTGGAGGAAAAACACCACGTAGCTCTCTGCACAATGGTTTGGCCAAACTATAAAGGACTGGCTTGGCCTCAAGAAAGAACCATTCATTTCATTACCATCTAACAATTGGAACTTTTCTGTAGATGTGAGGACAGATGGTCTGAGGCACCATATTTGCAGGCTTTCTATACTTTGAAGGCAATCCAGACCTTTGTTGACAATGTAGGATTGATCCAGCCACCCTGTTTGCCATCTTAGAGATGGCTGCAAGGGGCAAGCCCAGGAAAGTAAAGATACAAGTCCCAGAGGCACTCCCAGCAGAGAATCCAGATCTCTCAAGCCCTTCTCCTCCAGGTCCATCCTGACCTCCCTGTACAGCTTCAGCCTCTCACTTGCTCCCTTCTAAAAATCCACAATCTAACCAAGTCCCAGTCTCACTCCTTCCCCTCCAAGAGATGCCCAGTGCAATTGGGTCCAGTGAGGTCCAGTTTCCTTCTCCCTACTTAAAGCAAATTAAAGGGGATCTTGGCAAGTTTTCAGATCATCCTGATAGATATATAGAGGCTTTCCAGAATTTCACTCAAATATTTGAACTCTCCTGGAGAAATATTATGTTACCTTTGAATCAGACTCTGATGGACATTGAGAAGTAGTCTGCTCTGCCTGTTGCAGAGGGATTTGGGGATGAGCTTTGTATCACACATAGAATCAGGAAAGGGGGTGAAAACTAACCAACCAGAAGAAAAGCAGTACCAATGGATGACCCTAAATAGGATTCCAATGATGAGGTGGAAGACTGGAAGAGAAGGCACTTTCAGGTGTCCATAATGGAAAGGTTTACATAGAACTAGGACTAAACCTCTCAATTATACAAAGTTGTCCATGATTGACAAGGGATTTCATAAAAATCCCACTGCCTTCCTGGAAAGTCTAAGAGAGGCCTTGGTAAAAGCATACCTTTCTATTTTCTAATTCAGCTGAGGGACAGCTAATCCTAAAGGATAAATGTATTACTCAGACAGCTCCTGATATCAGGAGGAAGCTACAAAAACAGGTCCTGGAACCAGAAAGTACATTAGAGGATCTCCTGAAAGTGGCTACCTTGGTCTTTTATAATAGAGAGATGGAGGCCCAGGAAAAAGAGAAGATACAGGAAAGAGACAGAAGCTTTAGTGGCAACTAGGCAAGTCCACAAACCCCAGAATTCTCAAGGTGCACCTGTTAATTGCTAAAGATGTGACAAGAATAGCTATCTCTCTTCTAAAAGTTTATTTGCTCCAACACAAGGTTTAATTTCTTTCACCAGGGTGAAATAGCTTGGGATACAAAGTTGCTGTTAGTATATTTTATTTCTTATTTCTGTAATCTTTGGCACTAAATTCTTTCCTTGTATAATACACATGTTTAACCCACGCATATTTAACCTTATAAAACTTTTTTTTTCTGTCATGCCTAGAAGCCATCAAATTCCAAATAGTCAGACAAACAGAGCCTCAGATGATTACTCCTATTTTCTAGAAACTCTTACATAGACCTCTGGGAGAAATCTCACTACTGTTATTTTTTTCCCCAAAAAACAAAGCCCCCTGTCAGCAGGAAACAGCTAAGACTTGTCATCTTCTCTATTCTCATGGCAGTTAGATGTATCTCTTCAAAGGGGGGAAATGATACAAGAGTGCTGGGAAAAGCACAATCCCTTTAAATACAGATAGGGTGGCAGGGAGGAAAGAGCTAGGTAGAAGATAGTGTGGTCCCTGGCTAGAGCTCCACCCCGATGGACCTAGATAAGGACAGGCATTTCCTGCCCAAATGCTGAATTTCCCAAGACCACTCTGGCCTGCCATGCCCCTACCCTGGGCCTATAAAAACCTAAGACCCTAGCAGTCACACACACAAGCAACTGGATATCAGGAGGAACACATCAGCAGAAGAAGATGTAAGTGGGTGGTCATAAAGAGGCCATTGGGTGGAGCACTCTAGCAAAAGAGCACACTGACAAAGACAGATCAGGCAGAGTTTGGCTGAAACAGTTGGAGGAGAGCCGAGGCCATGGAGTGGCCCAATGCCAGGGGAACACCATCTCCCTTCTGGCTCCCTCATCAGATGAGAGCTAATTCCACTCAATAAAACGTTGTACTCATTCTCCAAGGCCACATATGATCCGTTATTTCCAGCATACCAAGGCAAGAACTCGGGCTACAGAAATTCCTGTTTTGTGATAAGGAAGGGGGTGTAATTGAGCTAGTTATCATAAGACAACTATAGGCATACTAAAAAAAACACCCTGTAACACATGCTCACTGGGGCTTCAGGAGCTGTAAACACTCACCCCTAGACACTGCTATGGGGTTAGATCCCCATAGCATACCTATCTGTATGCTCCCCTAGGGGTTGGAGCAGCAAGAGACTGAAAAAGTGAGCCACACCTCCATTGCATGCCCTGGGATGAGAATGAGGGAACCTTTCTCATTTCAGAGCTACAGGATTCTAGGAATATACATGTATGCTTTCTAAGTTATCACAGATATTTTCACCAAGTATTTTGGCATGGTACAACAGAGCTCTTCGGCCTTCTACATAGCTGGGTGGTTTTTTAAATTTTGTTTTGTTTTCCACCACCTGATCACCAAGACAATAATACATATTTTTACTTTCTGTATTTTGACAGCACTCTACCTGGTACCAGCTGCAGTAAAGTTAAACTCAGTGGACTTATAGAAGTTCATTTCTACATTTATGTGTAGTCTAATCATATGTTTAACAAGTGAACTTCCATGCAGAGAGTCTCTCCTTCTACCTTGTGTTTCCTCTATTACCTAAGACTGGGAAGTCTCTAGCATCTAGCCAGATGTCAAAAAAAGAGAAAGATATGTTTATGTGGCAGGAGTGGTTTTAAATCAGACATTAAAGTACCCACATTCTGCCCATATTCCAGAGGCCAGAACTCAATCACCTGCTGGTACCTGCTATGTACCAGGAGATAAAGAAAATGAGTTTTGGTAAATACATTACAGCCTCTGTCATACACAACTCTCACATTGCTCCCATTATATCATTTTAAAAATATAAATTTCATTATCCTATTAGATAAAACATCAATGAGCTTATTAGGAGAAGACAGGTTTGGAGATTCTGGCATAATCAGAAATCAACAATTTGATGTTTAGGATTTTATAATATTACAGGTAGAAAGAGGAACCTCAAAGATCAGCCAGTCTTACTATCTCATGTTACAGACTAATAAACTGAGACTCAGTTGGGCATAAGGAATCAGTGGTAGACACGGAACTGGAATACTGGTCTCCTCCTACTTAGGTCAGGGTTTTTGCTGTATGCCTCCCTGGCCTTAATTCTTCCTAAATCTTTAAAGTTACTGTATGCTGATAAGCCCAAATATAACTTTATTTTAAATTTTACATGTAACTTTTACTAAATACAGGAAATAAACTGGCATCTAATTAGAGGAAAAATAAAAATCTTTGGTCAGAGTTTCAGTGGAAATAAGTTATGTGGTTTATGTAATCCTAAAGGAGATATATATTTTTCTCTACAAATATAGAATAAATTTCACCTGAAAGTTGTTTCTCAGACCTTTTTAAACTGCTTAAACCTGGAGGATCAATCAGATCAAAGCAGAGAAAAACTATCACTTTTGTAAAACTAAACAAATATGAAATTGAGAAATGTTTGCAAAAAGTTCAGGAAGAAACAACGGGTAATGGGAAAAACACAAATTAATTGTTGAAAGAAATAGAAACCAGTTATACCCTTCCACTATGACTTTTTATCCTTAGGATAGATGATTATCCTCTTCAGATCTACAAATAGTGGTTTCTCCTCTGCCTCATTTCTGAGGTTGTGGTCAAGACAAAATGAGATCATGTATACAATAGCAACTTGCAAGTTAAAAATCACTGTTCTTCAAATAATCAACAATAAATCTACTTTATCCTGTAAATAGCTATTAAAATCTATTGTGGTCTATGCATCCCTCATAGAGCAATATGAATATACATAATTTACTAAATTAGTTGTTACTCTGTTTCATAATTATTTTAGCTGTAAAACTGTAGCTACACTAAATTTCTAATGCTTTATCTACACAATCATATGGGAAACATCATCAGAAATTAAAAATACAAAACATACATTTAGAAAAGCATTTACAAAATGAAAAACATAGTGAGCTGTTATAAGTTTATTTTAACAACTAACAAGGTCATATAGTAGTAAACTGATAAAGAGAAATATTATTTAAGAATGAGGTCTTTGTAAGTCAAATACTGAGGAAAGAAATATTTGATGATAAATGTCCAAGAGTAGGAGAGTGGAGGTGATAACCTGGTATAAAGGGTCAAACACAATAATGGGTAGAATCAATAGCAGTTTAACTTAAGATAATAGCAATTTATTTTATTGGGAATTGTGTGGGTGCAAAAAATAACCCCTATTGAGAATTACTCTACATGTCTATATGGATTGGGTTTCTTTTCTTCAGCCGATCATAAAAAATGCCAAAAAGTATTCTGGAAAACTGACTTTTATTATTGGAGGGACATGTTACATAGTTTTAAAGGTCTTCACCTTCTGCTGCAGATTTTATAATAAAACATAATTTATTATGTAGAAATGGTTTCCATCTACAGACTGACTCAGAAGAAGAGCTAAGAAGAAACCTAATAT